TTTGGTTAATAAAATAAAAAACAGAAACAAGACAAGACAAAAAAAAATATTGGGTACAATAAAAATTATAAATATCATAAATAATAAAAAACAAAATAAAATAATTAAAAAAAAAAAAAATGAAATTGACTAAAAAAAAAAAAACGGATTTAAGCCTGAATGTAATTTAATTTGCTTCTATAAAAATCAAAATAAAAATCCTAGGTTTTCGTCAGAACTAATGAACGAGCATTACAAACTAAAAGATATAAGTACCTATTTTATCATAAAAGCCGAATAAAAATAATATGCCTATTTATATAATAAACGTAATTACCCAATAGTGGATTTCCCATCATTAATAACTGATGAACGTCGTTAAAATATCCTGCTGACACTCCGTCTAAGTTGCTAAGACCCATAGTCTTGATACCGAACCGCACTCTCGAACTACGCCCAACAACTAAAATAGCTTGTAAGTACCTAGTTGTACCAGGGCAATTTCACCCATAGCTGTGGGTTAAAGTCCAAGCTATATACTCAATAGGTATGTTCCCATTAAATTTGGAACCCCGACAGGAACCTTTTGATTGGTGCATATCGGCCGCACCCATTTTATTACCAATCAAATCAACTAATTAAATTCGCTCTGATAGCTTTGTGATTTCTGTGGGAACAGACCTAATATTAACGTGTATATTTGGTTGTATAAGTCCAAGCTAAATCATTTTTTTTTTTTTCAACCTATTGCGTTTTCTTATGGCTTAAAGGCGGTGACGTCAACAGCCGAGTATGGAAATTTGCTCAAAGAGCAGAATTTGCTCGTTTTGAATTTTCTGCTCAATAATAATATGCATTAAAGACTCACTTCTTGGCCTAATGACATAAATAACTAATATTTACAAATTCTGGATATCTATCAGCAACCAAACAATAATAATCATAAAATTTTTTTTTTTTTCTTTGTCAGGTTCAACTTTTCCAAGTATCGATGATATATCCGTAATACAAGACACCTCTCATCGCCGTTATCCCTAATTGAAAGGCCCGAAAACTAGAATGAATCATCATTGCGATTCTTTTTTGGGGTCGCAAATTGTCGGCCCTATGACATGTCAACCCTAATGCACGTAGTGTTTCTGACATGTGATTCATAATAATTATGCTGATAGGTTTGCATGTTGTTTTTTTTTTCCTTTTTTTTTTTCGTTTATATACATAATAAACAAAAAATTCAGATAAAAGTAACCCAAAACGATAAACTCAGGAATTAATTATATCATCTGCACATTAGGCAAAAGAAAAACAAATAAATCAGGTATCATAAAATTATTTTCATTTCATAGAAATAAAAAAGTAAAAGATATTGTCCCCCGTATAATTTATCAATCTATTTTATATTCAACTTATTTGAAAAGTTTGTCGTTGCAATTATGCAACACAAAAGTGAGCTTATGAAAAACAAGGAAAAGTTATGCACCCCGCAAACTACATCGATTTCACTCTCAAACATAACATTAATAATAAATTCACTAAAACTCCGAGTTTGCTTATGATATTTTCACAAGCGCCTTTTACCGCTTCTGACAATATGCCAACCGATAAAAATTAAATTATCACAGGCCTGGAATGCAATTGTTGAATTTATCGTGATTTTAATGTCATAACATTAGTAATATTTTATTGATAGAAAATGATAAAGTGAACCAAAAATAAGGAATATGCTCGAGTAGAAAACACCATAGAACTGCTGCAAACCGATATCTCCGAGTTTAATCTTGTTTAGCTTTGCCGAAACGCCGGCCGCTCGCTAAATTAAAATCACAACACAAATGTTTTATGCTAATTATCAATTATGCCAGGCTGGGGTAGAAAGCTGGCTAATTGATTATACAATTAATTAACAAATCGAATTTTTTTACAAAGACAATCGCGGAGATTGATAAAAATAAATACTTTCAAAATGATAATTTGTTTTCATACCCTCTCTTTCATGCTCTACTTAATAATATGGGTAAAATTTATATTTTTAAAGATTTTCATTATTTTGGCTGTAGGATAGACAATAATTAATTATTATTCTCTTCTATAATCTCCGAATACTCTATAAAAATTCAAGTCTTATAGGCTTATGATATACATTTTTTTTCTTCAAAAATTCAACTAGGACAGATTGTGCAAACTATTGATAACTGATACAAAAAGAGAATAAATTTATCGAAATTCATTCAAAACACATTTTTAGTAATCGCCAAATTGATTAAATACCGCTTTAACAATTATAATTATTCATTTTATCATCTAATTGCGCTTAAGGTACCTAGGTTAATTTATATTTCAATATTATCGTTTTTAACGGAAGTGATAAAATACCGCTTATTAAATTAATCCATGATAAAAAACAAATTCTAAACGCTCTTATCAACTTGACTTCGTGGAAATGTAATCGGCTTGTTGCTAAGTAAACTACCTATATTTTGATGACATGGCTGTTTTAAATCAACTCCAAGTTTTGCTTTATAGAGTGAAAAATATAATGATAAGGTTGAATATTACGATCTCATATTTTTTGAAAGGAGTTTAGGCCAACTGAATCGTTAATTTGGGAAAAACACACCAACATTTTTATTTCTTTTTGTTTTTCAAAACTTGACTGAAATAATTAACAACAGAATCCCTCGGGGACGAGGAGCTACAAACGAGAGAACAGTTTGCCAAGGATTTAGAAGAGTACAACCATGATCAATAATTAATAATAAATCATTCATAATCCGACGTTGTCAATTGCGCTAGGTTAGGTAAATGAACCAACACCGCATGGTGCGACGCCCAAGGATGACACCCAAACGCACAATAGGTAGAGGTAGGTCCATCCATTTTGGTACAAGCACATGCTTCGCCGCAAGTTGCGCATTGCAATGTTTGTCACGGTTGCCATAACAACGCCGAGTACCTAGTTGGATCATCCAGTGGCGTACCAAAATCATATTTAGTTCAAAACAAATGAAAACCATATATGTATAATAATAATTTGCCCGCTGGCTTCGAAGTGGGTGGACTCGAAGAATTTCAGAAATGGGAATTTGATATTGATGGAATAATTCCGGTCAAGAATTGACGTTTATCAGAAATTCCTGCAAGGGCATTATTCAGAAACTGACTGAAGAAATCGAATTAGTATAAAAGTCTGCCAGGTCAGGGCGAATGAACAGTGAAAGTGATATGTTTTTCTGCAGAGTTGAGCTTAGGACCTAGGAGAGATTCTTGGGAGCTCAGTAGCTCATTCCAGAAAATGCAGCAAAACTCGCCGATTATGGAGCAAAACTTGGAGAATAAAATGATCATATAAAAACTTCAAAATTTTCATTAGGTGTGGGGGCTAGGAGAGATTCTTCGAAGCTCTGTAGCTCATTCCAGGTAATGGAGCAAAACTTGCCGATCATGGAGCAAAATTTTCACTGGAGGGGAGCAAGGTGAAATTCTTGGGAGCTCTGTAGCTTATTCCAGGTACTGGAGCAAAACTCGCCGATCATGGAGCAAAACGGTTCAAAACTGGGAGAATAAAATGACCATATAGAAATTTGAAATTTTTCACTGGGGTGGAAGGGGGGCTACGAGAGATCCTCCGGAGCTTGTAGCTCAGTCCAGGTAATGGAGCAAAACTCGTCGATCGTAGAGCAAAATGAAGCAAGACTTGGAGGATAAAATACGCCTATGGAAACTTCAATATTTTCACTTGGGGAAGGGGTGGGGGGCTAGGAGAGATTCTTAGGAGCTCTGTAGCTCATTCCAGATAATGGAACAAAACTCGCCGATCATGAAGCAAAACTTGGAGATTGAAATGAGCATATAGAAACTTCAAAATTTTCACTGGGCCGGGGGCTATAAGAGAGATTTTTGGGAGCTCTTTAGCTCATTCCAGTTAATGGAGAAAAACTTGGAGAATAGAATGAGGATATAGAAACTTCAAAATTTTCACCAGGGGGGGAGGGAGCTAAGAGAGATTCTTGGGAGCTCTGTAGCTCATTCCAGGTAACGGAGCAAAACTTGCCCATAATGGAGCAAAAACAGAGATTTTTTAGGAGCTCTGTAGCTCATTTCAGTTAATTAACAAAACTTGAAGAATATAATAAGCATAAAGAAACTTGAAAAATTTCGAAATTTTTACTGGGGGAGGGGGATGCTAGGAAAGATTATTAGGAGATATGTGGCTCATTTCAGGTAATGGAGCAAATTTCGCCGATCATGGACCAAAACTTGGAAAAGAGGATGAGCATTATAAAATATTGAAATTTTCAGTGGGGAGGGGGCTAGCGTTAATTTACCCCTAAAAAAATTCAGTGGTGAGGGGGAACTACCTGAACTGACCAGTGCTCGCTTTATTTGAGAAAAAAAAAAAAAAGAAAAGAAGAGGAGAACGCACCTTCCAAACAAACTTTCGCGAGAGCAAGAAGACAGACGATTAGTAGTTAACCAGAAAGAGAAAGAGAGAAGACTGAAAGGAAAACAAGAAGAAGAAAGACGAATTATTATGAAACAAAGACCATAAAATGAGAAAAAAAAGGAGGAGCAAAAGCTCAGAGATATTAAAAGAATCACCGGATTGCTGCGAAATATTTGACAAGAAATCGGAACGGTTGACGAAATAGGAAAGAACCGAGAAAAAAAATCAAAAGAAGTAATACGAGTGGATGATTTAGGCACCACAGGACGAGCAGATGGGAACTTACATGAGAAACAAATGTTTTTACTGAAAACTTCTAGAGAGGAAATTAATTTGTGTACGGTTAGGCGTTGTAACAAGCGAACCCTATAGCTTCAATGCAAGGCCATGGGAAATTCGTAGAATTGATTCAAGTGAAGTTCTGACTCTAGCATAGTGGTTTCCAATAGAAATGTAGCCTTATAGTTAGTGGTGTTTTAGCATGTTTCACATCAAAATAGACCATAAAAAAACATTATATCATTGTAGTTTTTCAGTCAAAATGGAGATTTAACCTTCGAAATTCAAATACACTTACCAGATGTGCTTGCGGCCCTTGTGTCAGGTCAAGCTTCGATTGTTATCCTCGCTTCATTTTCTGTCGAATCTGCATTTGTGTATTCTCTTGTGCGATTGCAGCATATTCTGGTCCTTGGTGATGTACTTGTAGGTTATTTCCATGCAAGCTTCTATAGTTCAGCTGTTCGCTTTATAAGAAAAAGATATCAAGTGAGCAACACAAGTCTATGTTTAACTTACCGATGACGTGTGTTGGCCTTGGGATCTTCCATCTTTATGCTTGTAGATCACTTTGTGCACGTCCAAATTGTTTAAGGAGTCAACCATCATCATAGGCGATCACTCCATACCGAGTTTGATTATCTTCTGTTCCATTATTATTGTCATCGATGGTAACCGAATCAAATGCTTTTACTAAGTCTATGAAGGCCATGTTTGATGGGCAATTTTGTTATTTGGATTTTTTTTTTTGCATTTTTCTTACACTGAAAATCATGTCAGCTGTACCTCGGTTAGGACCAAGTTTCAACATCTGCATCTTCCGGCAATAATTCGAATATGGAGCGTTCTTGAACATTGACAGGTTCTGGAGTTGTATTTATACATATTTTATTCCTCTGATCCTGAATGGATCACATTTTCAAAAGAACAACTGCCAACCATTCCACCTTCAGAAGACGTGGCTGCAACCACTGCTTCCTGCGGCAATATTGCGACTGTGGGGCCTTCTAGAATAGCCTACAGTTCCGGAGTTGACATTGAATGGTCTGAAATAATTGTAGTAACAACAGTTGAAATTTTTTTATCATCTAGTTCATCTATCGGGTGACATCCAAGTGCCCGAAATCCTAACGTGAAGTTATTCACGAAATCATCGGTTTCCCCAAAGTAACATCAGTAGTTTTAGATGGACCAATCTCAAAATATATTTGGCCTTTCTTACGGGCGTGAGCGTGATAAACTTTTAGCAGTTTCGTAATTTTTTGAAAGTTTTTGTAATTTTCGAGTGTGACATCAGCAATTCTACCTGGGCTACAACTAATTTTTATTCGTCTATTCTGATAGGTTTGTAGCGAAGGTTTGTTCAATTTCACTCCATTCCATATTTCTTTTGTGCAATATACAATCACCGCTTTGGTGTTAGCGGCCTGCTGCAAAAAATCTCTTAAATATTCTAGCCTGCGATTGCAACCATAGCAAATTTGGCTCGAGTCTGCACAGGTTCTCTTACTTTAGGGAGTTCAGATTATAGAAGTGAAACTTTGAAGCTTCTTCAACATGTTAGAATCTCAGACTCCTGCAAACACAATCTACAACTTGTATTGACATCAACGATTTCCTCCAATTTCGCTTCATTGCTGATGATTGCTTTTTTGAAATTAGCCAATTCTCGTACTGTAGCTTCGCATTTTTCGCATATTTTAGGGTCCGCGGTTAAATGCAGATTCCGACAATAAAAAACAGAAGAAAGAAATATATCGAATCGATTATATTTTTAAAAGACCAAGTGTCAACTTCTGCTTCTTGCGGCATTAATTCAAATCTGGAGCTTTCTAGAATATTCACAAGTTCCGGAGTTGTACTTATATTTTCGTCAGATTCCTCTTCCATTTTCTCAATTTCCGTTCCTCTCTCATTGTTAGTTTTGTTTACTGTTCAAACTTTACGCTTTCTGGAAACAACTTCATTTATTGAGTGTGTATCGATTACACCTTGAAAAGACATGGACTACTTATTTTTATTCGTCTATTCTGATAGATTTTTAGCGCAGTTTTGTTCAATTTCACTCCATTGCATATTTCTTTATTGCAATATACAATCACCGCTTCGGTGCTAGCGGCCTTCTGCAAAAAATCTATCATATGTTCTAGCCTGCGATTGGCTCGAGTCTGCAATGTTGAGGACTTAAAAATAATGCTATTTATAAATATTTTACAAAACCAGTTCTCTTACTATAGGGAGTTCAGATTGTAGAAGTGAAACTTTGACATTTCTCCAACATGTTAGAATCTCAGACTCCTGCAAACACAATCTACAACTTGTATTGACATCAATAAAAACGAAATTGTTTTCCTCCAATTCCGCTTCATTGCTGATGATTGCTTTTATGAAATTAGCCAATTCTCGTACTGTAGTTTCGCATTTTTCGCATATTTTAGGTTCCGCGGTTAAATGCAGATTCTGACAATAAAAAACACAAGAATGAAATATATATAGGGAGTCAACCATCATCATCCGCTTACTCCTTCAACTAATCGCTTTCTGGAAAAAAACTTCATTTATTGCGTCTGAATCGATTATATTTTCAAAAGACCAAGTGTCAACTTCTGCTTTTTGCGGAGCGTTCTAGAATATTCACAAGTTCCGGTGTTGAACTTATATTTTCGTCAGTTTCCTCTTTCATTTTTTCAATTTCCGTTCCTCTCTCATTGTTAGTTTTGTTTATTGTTCCAACTTTACGCGTTCTAGAAACAACTACATTAATTGCGTCTGTATCGATTACACCTTAAAAAGACATGGTTGCAGCCTCTGATTATTGCGGCACTATATCAACCGTCAGGCCTTCTAGAAGACATGCAAGTTCTGGAGGTGTGCTTATATTTTCAATGATTCATTCAAGACTCCAAATCTAGAGAAAATTTTTATAATTCAGTTCAACGCCCAAGTTCCATTAAAGTGCTTGGAGTGCTAACGTGAAATTATTCACGAAATTATGAGCTTTATCCCAAGCCCAAAGTGACATCAATTTTTATAGATGGACCCATAATCGAATGATCGGCTCTTCTGATAAGTTTTTGGCGTTTTTGGTATTTCCATAAGCTTTTGTCATTTTCTGGGGGGTTATAAATTGTATCCAAAGTGACATCAGTAATTCTGGCTGGCCTATCATTAAATCTTCTATTCTGATAAGTTTTAAGCGTTTTCGTAGTTTAGTCCAATTCCGCTTTCTTTGCGCAGCTTCAGTTTTAACAGCCGTCTGCAAAAAATCTTCTAAATTTTGAAGCCTGTCAGTGCATTCGGGAAATAAATTAATTTATTATACATCGAATACTTTGTCAAATGACCAAGTGTTAACATCTGCATCTTCCGGCAATAATTCGAATATGGAGCGTTCTTGAACATTGATAAGTTCTGGAGTTGTACCTATATTTTGTTCCTCTGATTCTGAATGGATCACATTTTCAAAAGAACAACTGCCAACCATTCCACCTTCAGAAGACGTGGCTGCAACCATTGCTTTCTGGGGCAATATTGCAACTGCGGGGCCTTCTAGAACAGCCTACAGTTCCGGAGTTGACATTGAATGGTCTGAAATAATTGTAGTACCTACAGTTGAAAAAATGTTATCATTTAGTTCATCTCCCGTGTGGCATCCAAGTGTCCGAAGTCCTAACGTGAAGTTATTCACGCAATCATCGGTTTCACCCAAAGTAACGTCAGTAGTTTTAGATGGACCAATCTCAAAATATGTTTGTCCCTTCTTACGGGCGTGAGCGTGATACATTTTTGGCGGCTTCATAATTTTTGTAAATTTTCGAAATTTTCTGTAATTTTTGAGTGTGACATCAGCAATTCTACCTGGACTACAACTTATTTTTATTCGTCTATTCTGATAGGTTTTTAGCGAAGGTCTGTTCAATTTCTCTCCATTCCATATTTGTTTTGTACAATATACAATCACTGCTTCGGTGTTAGCGACCTTCTGCAAAAAAATTCTTAAATTTCCTAGCCTGCGATTGCAACCATAGCAAATTTGGCTCGAGTCTGCAATGTTGAGGACCTCACCCAAAGTAACATCAGTAATTTTAGATGGACCAATCTCAAAATATATTTGTCCCTTCTTACGGGCGTGAGCGTGATAAACTTTTGGCATTTTCGTAATTTTCGTAAGTTTTTGAAAGTTTTTGTAATTTTCGAGTGTGACATCAGCAATTCTACCTGGACTACAACTTATTTTTATTCGTCTATTCTGATAGGTTTTTAGCGAAGGTTCGTTCAATTTCACTCCATTCCATATTTCTTTAGTGCAATATACAATCACCGTTTCGGTGTTAGCGGCCTTCTGCAAAAAATCTTTTAAATGTTCTAGCCTGCGATTGCAACCATAGCAAATTTCGTTCGAGTCTGCAATGTTGAGGACCTAAAAATAATGTAATTTATAAAAAAAAAATCAAAACCAGTTTTCTTACTATAGGGAGTTCAGATTGTAGAAGTGAAACTTTGAAATTTCTCCAACATATTAGAATCTCAGACTCCTGCGAACACAATCTATAGGTTTTATTAACATCAATGAAAACGAAATTGTTTTCCTCCAATTCCGCTTCATTGCTGATGATTGCCTTTTTGAAATTAGCCAATTCTCGTACTGTAGCGTCGCATTTTTCGCATATTTTAGGTTCCGCGGTTAAATGCGGATTCTGACAATAAAAAATACAAGAATGAAATATACCTTTTAAAATAATTATTCAAATGCAAGTACTCACTTTGAAAATAAGTGGTAATATCAATTTTAGATCCTTCAGAAGGCCATCGTTACTTCTCAATACGGAACAGTGTAGGCCTTTTTTGATGACTTCTAAGCAAATTCGACAAATTCTCTGGGTAGGCTCCATAATTTCTAGGCACGTAGGGCACGTTCAGGGGGTTACAATAAATAAACCACATTTTCAATCAGTAGGTACACTGAAATTGATTTCAAATAACAGTAACGGCTCTCAAATTGAAATCACAATGTTGAGACGAAACGTTTCCAAAACACTATTGTATTGTAGGGACTAGTGCGAGTGTAGCATGGAATTTAATTTTGATTGTTTTTATTCATTTCAGCTTATCAGGTATGGAAAAGTATACACTGATTCCAATTTCGCTTCATTGCTGACGATTGCCTTTTTGAAATTTGCCAATTCTCGTACTGTAGTTTCGCATTTTTCGCATATTTTAGGTTCCGCGGTTAAATGCAGATTCTGACAATGAAAAACACAAGAATGAAATATATATAAGTAGGGAGTCATTGTTCATTGATTCATAAAGACTCCAAATCTAGAGAAAATTTCTATTATTTAGTGCAACGCCCAAGTTACAATAAAGTGCCTGAGGTGCTAACGTGAAATTATTCACGAACTTATGAGCTTAATCCAAATCCCAAAGTGACATCAATTTTTCTAGATGGACCCATAATCGGATGATCCGCTCTTCTGATAAGTTTTTGGCGTTGTCGTAATTCCCATAAGCTTTTGTCATTTTCTGGGGGGCTATAAATTGTATCCAAAGTGACATCAGTAATTCTGGCTGGCCTATCATTACATCTTCTAATTTGATAAGTTTTAAGCGTTTTCGCAGTTTGGTCCAATTTCGCTTTCTTTGCGCAGCTTCAGTTTTAACAGCTGTCTGCAAAATATCTTCTAAATTTTGAAGCCTGTCAGTGCATTCGGGAAATAAATTAATTTATTATGTATCGAATACTTTGTCAAATCACCAAGTGTCAACATCTGCATCTTCCGGCAATAATTCGAATATGGAGCATTGTTGAACATTGACAAGTTCTAGAGTTGTACTTGCAATCACTGCTTCCTGCGGCAATATTGCAACTGTGGGGCCTTCTAGAATAGCCTACACTTCCGAAGTTGACATTGAATGGTCTGAAATAATTATAGTACCTACAGTTGAAAAAATGTTATCATTTAGTTGATCTCCTGGGTGGCACCCAAGTGCCCGAAGTCCTAACGTCAAATTATTCACGAAATCATCGGTTTGACCCAAAGTAACATCAGTAGTTTTAGATGGACCAATGTCAAAATATATTTGTTCCTTCTTACGGGCGTGAGCGTGATAAACTTTTGGCGGTTTCGTAATTTTTGTAAGTTTTTGAAAGCTTTTGTAATTTTCGAGTGTGACATCAGCAATTCTACCTGGACTACAACTTATTTTTATTCGTCCATTCTGATAGGTTTTTAGCGAAGGTTCGTTCAGTTTCGCTCCATTCCATATTTCTTTAGTGCAATATACAATCACCGTTTCGGTGTTAGCGGACTTCTGCAGAAATTCTTTTAAATATTCTAGCCTGCGATTGCAACCATAGCAAATTTGGCTCGAGTCTGCAATGTTGAGGACCTCACCCAAAGTAACATCAGTAATTTTAGATGGACCTATCTAAAAATATATTTGTCCCTTCTTACGGGCGTGCGCGTGATAAACTTTTGGCCTCTTCGTTATTTTTGAAAGTTTTTGTAATTTTCGAGTGTGACATCAGCAATTCTACCTGGACCACAACTTATTTTTATTCGTCCATTCTGATAGGTTTTTAGCGAAGGTTCGTTCAGTTTCGCTCCATTCCATATTTCTTTAGTGCAATATATAATCACCGTTTCGGTGTTAGCGGACTTCTGCAGAAATTCTTTTAAATGTTCTAGCCTGCGATTGCAACCATAGCAAATTTGGCTCGAGTCTGCAATGTTGAGGACCTCACCCAAAGTAACATCAGTAATTTTAGATGGACCTATCTCCAAATATATTTGTCCCTTCTTACGGGCGTGCGCGTGATAAACTTTTGGCCTTTTCGTAATTTTTGTAAGTTTTTGAAAGCTTTTGTAATTTTCGAGTGTGACATCAGCAATTCTACCTGGACTACAACTTATTTTTATTCGTCCATTCTGATAGGTATTTAGCGAAGGTTCATTCAATTTCGCTCCATTCCATATTTCTTTAGTGCAATATACAATCACCGCTTCGGTGTTAGCGGCCTTCTGCAAAAAATCTCTTAAATTTTCTAGCCTGCGACTGCAACCATAGCAAATTTGGCTCGAGTCTGCAATGTTGAGGACCTCACCCAAAGTAACATCAGTAATTTTAGATGGACCTATCTCAAAATATATTTGTCCCTTCTTACGGGCGTGCGCGTGATAAACTTTTGGCCTCTTCGTAATTTTTGAAAGTTTTTGTAATTTTCGAGTGTGACATCAGCAATTCTACCTGGACTACAACTTATTTTTATTCGTCCATTCTGATAGGTATTTAGCGAAGGTTCGTTCAATTTCGCTCCATTCCATATTTCTTTAGTGCAATATACAATCACCGCTTCCGTGTAAGCGGCCTTCTGCAAAAAATCTCTTAAATTTTCTAGCCTGCGACTGCAACCAAAGCAAATTTGGCTCGAGTCTGCAATGTTGAGGACCTCACCCAAAGTAACATCAGTAATTTTAGATGGACCTATCTAAAAATATATTTGTCCCTTTTTACGGGCGTGCGCGTGATAAACTTTTGGCCTTTTCGTAATTTTTGTAAGTTTTTGAAAGTTTTTGTAATTTTCGAGTGTGACATCAGCAATTCTACCTGGACTACAACTTATTTTTATTCGTCAATTCTGATAGGTTTTTAGCGAAGGTTCGTTCAGTTTCGCTCCATTCCATATTTCTTTAGTGCAATATACAATCACCGTTTCGGTGTTAGCGGACTTCTGCAGAAAATCTTTTAAATGTTCTAGCCTGCGATTGCAACCATAGCAAATTTGGCTCGAGTCTGCAATGTTGAGGACCTCACCCAAAGTAACATCAGTAATTTTAGATGGACCTATCTAAAAATATATTTGTCCCTTCTTACGGGCGTGCGCGTGATAAACTTTTGGCCTCTTCGTAATTTTTGAAAGTTTTTGTAATTTTCGAGTGTGACATCAGCAATTCTACCTGGACTACAACTTATTTTTATTCGTCCATTCTGATAGGTATTTAGCGAAGGTTCGTTCAATTTCGCTCCATTCCATATTTCTTTAGTGCAATATACAATCACCGCTTCGGTGTAAGCGGCCTTCTGCAAAAAATCTCTTAAATTTTCTAGCCTGCGACTGCAACCAAAGCAAATTTGGCTCGAGTCTGCAATGTTGAGGACCTCACCCAAAGTAACATCAGTAATTTTAGATGGACCTATCTCCAAATATATTTGTCCCTTCTTACGGGCGTGCGCGTGATAAACTTTTGGCCTCTTCGTAATTTTTGAAAGTTTTTGTAATTTTCGAGTGTGACATCAGCAATTCTACCTGGACCACAACTTATTTTTATTCTTCCATTCTGATAGGTTTTTAGCGAAGGTTCGTTCAGTTTCGCTGCATTCCATATTTCTTTAGTGCAATATATAATCACCGTTTCGGTGTTAGCGGACTTCTGCAGAAATTCTTTTAAATGTGCTAGCCTGCGATTGCAACCATAGCAAATTTGGCTCGAGTCTGCAATGTTGAGGACCTCACCCAAAGTAACATCAGTAATTTTAGATGGACCTATCTCCAAATATATTTGTCCCTTCTTACGGGCGTGCGCGTGATAAACTTTTGGCCTCTTCGTAATTTTTGAAAGTTTTTGTAATTTTCGATTGTGACATCAGCAATTCTACCTGGACCACAACTTATTTTTATTCTTCCATTCTGATAGGTTTTTAGCGAAGGTTCGTTCAGTTTCGCTCCATTCCATATTTCTTTAGTGCAATATATAATCACCGTTTCGGTGTTAGCGGACTTCTGCAGAAATTCTTTTAAATGTGCTAGCCTGCGATTGCAACCATAGCAAATTTGGCTCGAGTCTGCAATGTTGAGGACCTCACCCAAAGTAACATCAGTAATTTTAGATGGACCTATCTCCAAATATATTTGTCCCTTCTTACGGGCGTGCGCGTGATAAACTTTTGGCCTCTTCGTAATTTTTGAAAGTTTTTGTAATTTTCGATTGTGACATCAGCAATTCTACCTGGACCACAACTTATTTTTATTCTTCCATTCTGATAGGTTTTTAGCGAAGGTTCGTTCAGTTTCGCTCCATTCCATATTTCTTTAGTGCAATATATAATCACCGTTTCGGTGTTAGCGGACTTCTGCAGAAATTCTTTTAAATGTGCTAGCCTGCGATTGCAACCATAGCAAATTTGGCTCGAGTCTGCAATGTTGAGGACCTCACCCAAAGTAACATCAGTAATTTTAGATGGACCTATCTCCAAATATATTTGTCCCTTCTTACGGGCATGCGCGTGATAAACTTTTGGCCTTTTCGTAATTTTTGTAAGTTTTTGGAAGTTTTTGTAATTTTCGAGTGTGACATCAGCAATTCTACCTGGACTACAACTTATTTTTATTTGTCTATTCTGATAGGTTTTTAGCGAAGGTTCGTTCAATTTCGCTCCATTCCATATTTCTTTAGTGCAATATACAATCACCGTTTCGGTGTTAGCGGACTTCTGCAGAAAATATTTTAAATGTTCTAGCCTGCGATTGCAACCATAGCAAATTTGGTTCGAGTCTGCAATGTTGAGGACCTAAAAATAATGTTATTTATAAATTTTTTACAAAGCTAGTTTTCTTACTAAAGGGAGTTCAGATTGTAGAAGTGAACCTTTGAAATTTCTCCAACGTGTTAGAATCTCAAACTCCTGCGAACACAATCTACGGATTTTATTGACATCAATGAAAACGAAATTGTTTTCCTCCAATTCCGCTTGACGATTGCCTTTTTGAAATTAGCCAAGTCTCGTACTGTAACTTCGCATTTTTCGCATATTTTAGGTTCCGCAGTTGAATGCAGATTCTGACAATGAAAAATACAAGAATGAAATATACCTTTTAAAATAATTATTCGAATGCAAGTACTCACTTTGAAAATAAGTGGTAATATCAATTTTAGATCCTTCAGAAGGCCATCGTTACTTCTCAATACGGAACAGGGTAGGCCTTTTTTGATGACTTCCAAGCAAATTCGACAAATTCTCTGGGTAGGCTCCATAATTTCTAGGCACGTAGGGCACGTTCAGGGGATTTCAATAAATAGACCACATTTTCAAACAGTAGTACACTGAAATTGATTTCAAATAACAGTAACGGTTTTCAAATTGAAATCACAATTTTGAGACGAAACCTTTCCAAAACACTATCGGATTGTAGGGACTAGTGCGAGTGTAGTGTGGAATTTAATTTTGATTGTTGTTATTCATTTCAGCTTATCAGGAATGGAAAAGTATACACTGATTCCAATTTCGCTTCATTGCTGACGATTGCCTTTCTGAAATTAGCCAATTCTCGTACTGTAGTTTCGCATTTTTCGCATATTTTTGGTTCCGCGGTTAAATGCAGATTCTGACAATAAAAAACACAAGAATGAAATATATATAGGAAGTCAACCATCATCATCCGCTTACTCCTCCAACTAATCGCCTTTTGGAAAAAAAAAACGTCATTTATTGCGTCTGAATCGAATGTATTTTCAAAAGACCAAGTGTCTGCTTCTTGCGGCATTTATTCAAATGTGGAGCGTTCTAGAATATTCAAAAGTTCCGGTGTTGTACTTATATTTTCGTCAGTTTCCTCTTTCATTTTTTCAATTTCCGTTCCTCTCTCATTGTTAATTTCGTTTACTGTTCCAACTTTACGCGTTCTAGAAACAATTTCAATAATTGCGTTTGTATCGATTACACCTTAAAAAGACATAATTGCAGAATCAACCGTCGGGCCTTCCAGAATACCCGCAAGTTCTGGAGGTGTGCTTATATTTTCATTGATTCATAAAGTCTCCAAATCTAGAGAAATTTTTTATTATTTAGTGCAACGCCCAAGTTTCATTAAAGTGCCTGGGGTGTTAACGTGAAATTATTGACGAAATTATGAGCTTCATCCAAATCCCAAAGTGACATCAATTTTTCTGAATGGACCCATAATCGAATGATCCGCTCTTCTGATAAGTTTTTGGCGTTGTCGTAATTCCCATAAGCTTTTGTCATTTTCTGGGAGGTTATAAATTGTATCCAAAGTGACATCAGTAATTCTAGCTGGCCTATCATTAAATCTTCTATTCTGATAAGTTTTAAGCGTTTTCGCAGTTTGGTCCAATTCCGCTTTCTTTGCGCAGCTTCAGTTTCAACAGTCGTCTGCAAAAAATCTTCTAAATTTTGAAGCCTGTCAGTGCATTCGGGAAATAAATTAATTTATTATGCATCGAATACTTTGTCAAATGACCAAGTGTCAACATCTGCATCTTCCGGCAATAATTCGAATATGGAGCGTTCTTGAACATTGACAAGTTCTGAAGTTGTACCTATATTTTGTTCCTCTGATTCTGAATGGATCACATTTTCAAAAGAACAACTGCCAACCATTCCACTTTCAGAAGACGTGGCTGCAACCATTGCTTCCTGGGGCAATATTGCAACTGTGGGGCCTTCTAAGTCTGAAATATTGTAGTCCCTACAGTTGAAAAAATGTTATCATCAACTTCATCCCCTGTTTGGAATCCAACTGCCTGAAGTCCTAACGTGAAGTTACTGATGAAATCATCAGTTTCACCCAAAGTAACATCAGTACTTTTAAATGGAGCAATCTCAAAATATGTTGGTTCCTTCTTAGGGGCGTGAGCGGGATAAACTTCTCGCGGTTTTGTAATTTTTGTAAGTTTTTGATATTTTCTGTATTTTTTGAGTTTGACATCAGCAATTCTACCTGGACTATAATTTATTTTTATTCCTCTATTCTGATAGGTTTTTAGCGAAGGTTTGTTCAATTTCTCTGCATTCCATGTTTCTTTTGTACAATATACAATCACCGCTTCGGTGTTAGCGGCCTTCTGCAAAAAATCTATCAAATGTTCTATCTTGCGATTGCATCCATAGCAAATTTTGCTCGAGTCTGCAATGTCGAGGACCTAAAAATAATGCTATTTATAGGTAAATATTTTACAAAACCAGTTCTCTTACTATAGGAAGTTCAGTTTGTAGAAATGAAACTTTGACATTTCTCCAACATGTTAAAATCTCAGACTCCTGCAAACACAATCTACAACTTTTCTCGACATCAATGAAAACGAAATTGTTTTCCTCCAATTCCGCTTCATTGCTGACGATTGCCCTTTTGAAATTACCCAATTCTCGTACTGTAGCTTTGCATTTCTCGCATATTTTAGGTTCCCCTGTTAAATGCAGATTCTGACAATAAAAAACACAAGAATGAGATATACCTTTTAAAATAATTATTCAAATGCAAGTACTCACTTTGAAAGTAAGTGGTGATATCATTTGTAGGTCCTCCAGGAGGCCATCGTCACTTCTCAATACGGAACAGGGTAGGCCTTTCTTGATGACTTCCAAGCAAATTCGGCAGACTCTCTGTGTAGGCTCCATAATTGCTGTAAGGCACGTTCAGAGGGTTTCAATAATTAAACCAAATTTTCAATTAGTAGGTACACTGAAATTGATTTTAAATAACAGTAACGGCTGTCAAATTAATATCACAAATCACAACGTTTCCAAAACACTATTGGATTGTAGGGACTAGTCCAAGTGTAGTGTGGAATTTGTTGTTATTTATTTCAGCTTATCAGGAAAGGAAAAGTATACACTGATAACAGAACCTCCGAGTGAAAGTCTCTCAAAGTCTTTACGAAGAAATGGCAGATGATCAACTGAGTTGAAGTTAGGTACAGTTTGACTGTGATTATTAGAACTACTGCGGTACGCCTATGGTAACATAACCCGATTCCACATCTGGGCGAGCAGGCCAAAAAAAGTTGAAGGGAAAAAAATTTGCTACGAATAATTTTATTAAAAATTTTAATATCGACAATAAAGGTACCTACTGGACTCAGTCGACAGCTGGTGGGCTTGAAAACCTCATCTATTAATTAAATTTTGATTATTTAATTTTGATATCAATATGTTGGTAGCTCCAATATGTCATTTTGGCAAACATTTTTGATGCAAGAATAATTTAAAAAATATGCGTGATAAAGGTAATAATATTTCTCAACTTTGGCAACACCGCATAGAGGGTTCACAGGGGATGATGATCCCCCAAAAGTTTGGACCCTCCAGAACAGAGAACAACATAGATAGCTTCTAAGCCCCTATTTCCTACTTATCAATCAACCCGAAGTCCACTAGAATTTTCAAAAACGGAATTTAACGATGATTGAATCGACAAAAGATTTGCATTTTCGAGTATGTTACATATTTTTCCCATGGAAAAATAAAAATACATCATCTGATCTATTTAATTAGCTACCTACCTCACTTCGAAACCTAAGTTTGCTATCAAATATGACACCGAGATTTTTACACTGTTCCACGATCTGAGCCATCCCTCATGGCTATACGAAATTAATAAATTGTGGGTATGATATACGATAAAACCACACTATAACGGATGATATTTATCAGGGTCCCTATATAGAAGGGAAAAATGATTATATTCATGAAACAGGAGCTATCCGCTCGGGAAAATGACAACCTAATTAGCTTCCATTTTACAAATCCCCCGGAATACATTTTTAAGTCCGGTCACCCTCATCTGAAACGACAATCACATTTCGAACTGCATCCCCCCAAAGCGGCTTCTCTCTATCATTTTACTTTCGCAAACATAATGCAATTTAAGGATTCTTTGTAACAATAATGAAGGCATCTCTTTTGATCTCTCGTTAAATATTGCCAATTTAATTTTATTTCACATCAGATCCCATCGAATATTATAATATCGGAAATATTCAACCATTTTCTTTGTGGCATAAATTTATGATTCTTATTTGGACTCCTTATTTCTGATATGTAGGTAAAAATGTGTGTGGGTATGCCTATTTCGAGATGTGATTTCTGTGGAAACAGACATATTACCTTTTACTACTATAATTTAGGACTTTGTTTTATTTTTAATTGTTGACTAACTAATAATAAAAGGAGTAGGTACTTAAAATACAGACAATTCATAGCTAGAAAATCATCCCAGCTACTCCCGACCCCAGAGTTTGAACCGATTTAATCAACATTGAACTGTCAGACATTCGGAACAGATTTACCTAACCGGAACAACAGTTTTTAGTTCAAAAACATAGTCCTGAAATTAATTTATATTATTGAACAAAAAATTTAAAACGAACAAATTAGTGCAAATTATAGATAAATTATGCTCTTGAGAACTTGGTCGCTGCCCCCTAGCGAGAAAAATCCGCAACATTAATTACAAGAACATAATAGCACTGATTGACGCTGTCAAGTGTTAAAGACAATGAAGTTCCAATTATGGACTGCTTTAAGATCATTTTTTTAAATTTAAAATCTGTTCATTTTTATCCAGCGAATTTGGCTGGGCGATTTGCGTCAAATCTGCTTCAAATCGAACGGAAAATCAAACCATTGTAGATCAATGCAATTTTTTTTTTAACTTTCTGCTATCCACTCTGTAGAGAACAAGATACGCTATGATAAAAAAACGTCGAAAAAAAACATTTAAATGTATCTACCACAAATCGAATTTCAAAAAAAAAATAAGCAGCCTTTCTCTAGATATCGATTTGTAGCACTTTAAAAGAAACATTATAAAAATAATTCCAAATTTGTTTTGCTCTCAATGAATTCTTGAACTGAAGATCGCTCCCCAATATAATAAAAATGTTTGTGCCTGCTTAAAAATATTTTTCGCTGAAAAATCTGATGCGTTCTTTGTCAAATTAACTTTTGATTGGTTTCTCGTCTGAGTTTTACTCGGTTTTTATTCGAATCAAACAAATTTAGGTAGTTATCTTTCTGGCGAAATAAAAATGTAATTTTCCCTTTAATCTGTGTTTTTATGTCCCTTTTCGAGAGCAGAAACCAATCAACAAAACATCCCCTAAAGATTTTCATATTATCATTTTTTTTTGTGCTAGGTACCTACCTAAAGTTTTTTTTTTTAATCTCCTAAACAAGCTAAGCTTTAAGATGTTTATCTACTCATCTACTCAATGGCATTTATACCAAAAATTCAATATCCATTAGTTTAATGTTCGCGAAATCTATCTTTCGAGGAAGAGTTAAATTAATACGAACATACTCCGCAAGACTTGATTGACAGGTTGACTTAAAATCTCTTGAAAAAAAGTTTTCCCGTTTTTGTATTTTCAGCACAAATTGTGGTGAGCATGTTTTACATCAAGGATTCCGGCAGTATTTTCAGGTAATACGAATGAATCTATAAGAAATTTTGAAGTATCTCTTAGACACAAAGAGAATTCTTGCATGTCCAATTTTCCGAAAAACATACAACGTACCTTATGATTTGCATGATAAACTGAAAATTAAACTTGATGAATTGGTCATTTTAGTTCCTGTAAGAACTAGTAATTGGGCAAGCCCCATTGTTATCGTCCCAAAGAAAAATGGGGATATCACGGTGTGTGTGGATATCAAGATGACTTTAAATTGGGTTTTATGTCAGGATATTTATCCCTTTCCCAATATAAACGATCATCTGTCAAAATTTAACGGTGGTAAGGTTTTTTGTACTGCTAATTTATTAGGTGCTTATCAACAATTATTGCCTGTTCTCAGGAATTTTTGACTATAAATACGAATTTCGGTCTACTCAGATACACTCGGCTAACTAATTGCATCACCAGCGCTCCCGCTATTTTTCAGATGACTATGGACAAAATATTGAACAGGTTGAATAATTTCATATGCTATCTCAGCTATCTGGATGATATTCTGATTATGGGCCAGGATTTTGCTGAATGTTACGAAAATTTGTGTCAAGTGTTACAACGGTTGTCGGAATTTAATCTGAAAATTAATCTTTCAAAATGTAAAGTTTTCGTGAGTTCTGTGGAATACCTGGGTCATAAGATAGATGCAGAAGGTATTCATACCACATCTGAAAAGGATGAAGCGATTGTGAATGCCCCTGTCCCTAAAAATCTGTCTCAGTTAAGGGGAGTTACTAAATTTCTATAACAAGTGGCTTCCAATGCTATCATCTGTGTTGAAACCCCTGTATCATTTATTAAAGAAGAGTGTGGATTTTAATTGGAATACAGCCTGCCAAGAAAAATCAGGTAACCAAGTAGGTACTTGTTCATTTCAACCCGGAGAAGCCACTCAAGTTGGTTTGTGATTCTAGGTCGTATGGAGTTGGTGCAGTGTTGTGTCATGTCCTAGATAGGTTTGATAGACCAATATGGTTCATATCTCGTACTCTGTTAGAAGCAGAGAAAAACTACTCTCAACTAGAACGTGAGGCGTTAGTAATACTATTTGGAGCTAACCGGTTTCACAGGTTTTTGTATGGACGAAAATTCATTTTGGAATCAGATCATCAGCATCCACAAATTATTTTCAGTCCATGAAAGTCATTGCAACATCTAGGATAACAAGATAGGCGGTATTTTTATCAGCATACAATTATAGAATAGAATAGAAGGGTTCACAGATTGGCCATGCTGATGGGCCCTCAGGATTGCTCTTGAAGTCTCCGATACAGATACTTTATATTAATTCATTCAATTTATTGGAAACTGTACCGATTTCTTCTTATGATACTGCTTTCCACACCAACAGGGATAGAATTTTATCTAGGATTAAGAATTTATCTATAGGAGGGTGGCCGCAGTCTGTTTCTGATTCCGAGTTGAGACCTTATTTTTTAAAAAGGAATGAGCTTTCAGTGGAGCAGGGTGGTATTTTGTCGTGAAGCCGTGTCATTGTTCCAAATTCTTTAAGACACGATATATTGAGTGTCCTCCATGAAAGTCATATTGAAGTGGTCAGGTCCAAAATGCTTGCTCGGTCTGTATTCTGATTGCCAAATCTTTCTGAAGAAATTGAGAATTTAATTGGGGGTAGTTGCGAAACGTACCAGATGACTCAAAATAATCTACCTGATACTCCTGATAGGAGAACTTGTTGTCTTGGCCGAGTCCACCGAAAGTCTGGTTTAAAGTACACGTTTATTTTTTTGAAAAGGATTCATATACATTTTTGATAGTTATTCAAAGTGGGTGGAATTTCGAAGGCAAACGCGAGCATTAAACAACCATTGGTGGATAAAAAAATCAAAGTCAATGCAGCAAGTAGCCGAATTCAACAGCACCAGGGCCTTCTTTCAGGCTACCAAGATGGCATACGGACCAACCACTCAAGGACTCAATCCCTCCAAAGATGGCACAAGACTACTTAAAGACAGTTTTTGCAATAATTCTCGTTGGAAAAAACATTTTCAAGAACTACTCATTGATTCGGTCAACAAAAAAGCTCTTTGAAAGATATTGGCAAAGGTTGGGTGTCCGCAAAAGTACAACCAGATACTCTGCCTGCTGCATGATAATATGAATGCAACCGTCCTAAGCAACGATGGACAAGCAGAGTCCTTTCAA